TGTTTACATGTGAAGCGCTGGTCCAGGTGTTTTAATGACCTGCAGTTGAAAGCAGAAGTGAAACCAGAACTATGTCTGATTGAAATAGTTTCTGATCTTAAACAGAAACTATTTTTGATTTCAATCAGAAACATAGTCAAACTCCAAACTCATAGAAAATGATTTATATTTGCTGTCATAGCAATTATCAAACATATACAGTATACCTCCAGCTTAAGTGTTTGACAAGATGTAAAGGTTAAAAAAAAAAAGCAAACAAGCAAAAAAAAACTGCTTGGGAGTTTTCCGGACATTTGTTTCAGATTTGTGGTGCGTAGAAGCCGAAAGCTCCTTCTCCATGTTTGGTTCTGCTTCTGGGGATGCAGAGCAGACCTCAGAGGTCTGGATGGATGATCCGACGGCTGCAGATCGCTATTACATTTTCATACTAATGATTTATAAAGTAGCAACAGTATTTTAAAGTAGCAACAGTATTTTAAAGTCAATGCTGCCAAATTGTTTCAGGCCATCATGTCCTCTGACCTCTGACCTTCCCCTGCCCAGGAACCCACCTGCTGCCTCCAGCTTAACCGGGACACAAGCGCCCTAGCTGGTTCTTACATAAAGGTCCAGCTTGCAACTTATTAGCATCACTTCATTAAAATATGATGCAGCCGGCCTGCCCATTTGTGGAGTGGCTCACTAAAACAGCACTGCGGCCTCATTGTTTTGCCATGAGAAAAGGCATCCTGGAATAATTAGCGGCCTGCCAGTGGAATGGCCTGTGATGTAACAGAACTGAGATGTTTGGCATTATAAGAATGCCCCATTTCCACTCACCACTGTGGCACTTCAGAGTCCTTTCATGTGTAGTCTACCATGTACGTCCCAGTGAGCAGAGGACCTCCCAGCCAGGGAGAAATGAGGTGGTCTCATCACTGACACAGCTGTCTTTTCACCAGTACCCACTCCCGGCTCTGCAATATTTACAGCCTCTTCTTATCTGGTTGACCATCTGCTATTTCTTTTTGTTGACAAAAGCTGCCCGTTTGTTTTGTTGTTGTTGCTTTCTGTTTTAATCCAACAAGCAGCATTTTGTCCTTCCTTTCCACCATAATAATTCACAGTGGTTTCCATCATTGCGCAATTCTGCGCAATGAGGGAAACCTGATTTAGGTGTTGTGCAAACACCTAAATCAGCTTACCCTCCCCGACCTCAGCATGAACGCCATTCGTTCCGTGTAACGATCGTTTCCGGCGCTCTGGCAGCGAAGGCGAAGCATGCCAAGAGCTAATGTAATTGCATTTAAGTGTCCGTTCCAAAGAAGTACCTCGACATCAATGTGCTTCCTTTTCAAAGTCGGAAATTGTTTCATTTCACCAGTTTTAATACAGCCCTTATGCCAGAGACGGCGGGGTCATCTACCCCAACGGTGCATCTGTTTTTAAATGTGATTCGCAAAGTACGTAAGGGAAGTAAGCTGGTTAAATTTCTGCAGCTGCTCAGCCGCACACGTTCCCATTGCAACTCTTGGAAAGTCAGTTGGAGCTAACAAATATGCCTTCACCAAGACCCACCTCGCAACTTTGAATGCCTGTGCTTCCATTGCGCGTAAGTTGGTCAGAGGCTGTAGTTCAGTACGAGATCATTTTGCTCAAACATTCCACTTACAGCTTGCCGTGTCTCCAGGCCGAGGTTTGTGAAATAAAACACTTTGAGATCGACTTACAGCATAGTGTGATTTTCATAAGACAATCCGACCACATTTGAAGAACACTCCTAAACAAACGGGCATCACAAAGACCCAGGATCACAGCAGACCAATCACAGATGAAGCTACGAAGACGTTTTAAATCCGGGTTATAAATCAATATTAAAGCCTTGCCTTACTTCGTCATCCGAAAATGAAAAGAGCATAAAACAGCCAAGAGGTCCCTGGTAGCTCTAAGGGAGCTGCAGAGATACACAGCTCAGGTGGGAAAAGCTGCATTTGATCATTTTGACTTTCATGGCCGAGTGGAAGGTAAAGCATTTATGATTATTACGATTAAAGGAATCAAAAGTGGGCGATGTTTGGATGCTCCACAATGTTCACACACCAACAGCAGCAGGTGCAGTGGGAGGTGGATTTGGAAAGTATTGACCTTGAAGGTCTGAAACACAGTTTCACACCACGATGTGCAGAACTGTCTGTCGTTTTCCTTTCACTTTGCTGTTAAGTGATGCTTAATTTTCACGCATTTCTTTATGAGGTCGGACCTCATTGAAATAATTTTTTAAAAAATTTTAAAAAATCTTTTTAGCCGAACTATGATGAACTCAGATAAGTTTGGCAATGACCGCTCAGATTTCCGGATACACAATTTTGACTTGTTTAATATTGCTGATCAAACTCCTGTTTAGCATCGTCTTAATCCCAAACATATGTTTTTATAAATGTGCTAACAAACGATCAGGTAATTAAGTTAATATGTTGAGTAGCTCCTGGTTGTATTTTTGATGGAAGTTTGTACATAATTATTAGCTTATAATTCACAAACAATGAGGCAGGAGCAGAAAAAAAAAGGTAGCATATTGAGAACTCTCAACAAACTAGCCTATTCCTCCATCTGCCCATTAGCGGGACGTATGTTGAGGGGGAAAAAACAAACAAACAAATAAAAAAACCCGTCCAAGCTTCAATTTCAGAGCAACAAGAACATTTTTTGTGGAACTGCAGAGCAGCCCCGTCTACTTTTCTTCCTGTCTCGAACGCAAGTGTTGCTGCAGGGTGTTGGGTTTGTTACCTGTCTGGCGAGGGAGGGGGGTCTCCTCGTCTGGGGCTTTCCCACAGTAAAGAACCGAGGTGAACAGAAAGCCTCATAAACACACAGCTCCCCTACAAAGGTCTGGTTTTCAGCTCCCCGGACCAATAAACATCTGCCTATGCTTAGGGCCAGGGTCCCTTTTAAATCTCCATACACCTGGGAAGAATTACTGCCAGTGGGGTTTGAAGGAATGCCCCCAAAGGTCACCAAGGCCAGCCACACAGGCAGTACACAGGCTTTCGCTGCGCAGCCAGAGGTGAATAGTTCAACTCCAAGATGGTTCATGTGAGTGAGCAAATCAAGACGACGGCTCTCACGTGATGCATTTACCTCTGGCCTCATTCCGTTTTATCAGATCAATGTCATTGATCGCCATTTGGTCGAATTTCCAATAGAACACTCATTTCAAGTTCGCGAGTATACAAAATCACATCGTTTAACGGTTGTACTTGTAGGGCAGAAATAATAGGAGATTATGAGAATCTCGTTTAAATTTTTAAAAGGCAACAAAAAACAAAAACAAAACAACAACATTGTTTCACATCGATTTGGGAGTGTGTGCTTTTCCTACTTGGCTTTAACACCGTCCCATTTCACTTATTAATTTATCTACGTCACATAATGGGATGAATGTTTTATCTGTTTGTTAATATTAATCGTCAGTGTGGGCATGTTGTGGCTGATTTTAGAGATATTTTACTGAATCCTTTCCTGAAAATACACAATCTCAATCCAGACAGTCGGTGTAATCTAATTTCATACCAATTTCTAAATGTTCTTTTATTTATTTATTTCTTTTGCGCTTGCAGTTTGTAGATCAGCATGATATGACTGGACGTTTTTAGTGTAGTAAATGCAGAAATGACACTTTTCAAAGTGATAAATGACCTTTTACTACGTCATGGAGTCCTACCACCTTGGCGTATTGAGATATCAACGTTTGATGCAGGAGACAAAGGGTTTATTTCTTATCCACAGATGAAAGGAGCAACATTGCAGAGATTTAAGTCGTAATCGATTGACAGAATTTTTGCTGCCACGGAATAAGACACAGTCTCCTGAGAAACTCCTCTCTCATTTGGTGTACCTCAGGAGTCCGTATTTGCACCTGTTCTGTTTTTTTTTATCCAATTTATTTTATTTGAATAAGCATTTTTTTTAAATGCCCCGTCACATTTTGTTTCATCGCTATGCAGATGACAAATATATTTATATTTATGAATGTAGCATAATGCTAAAACACCTTTGAAAACCATTTTGAAACATTTTCTGAATTTCTAAGAATAGATAAAACTAAATGAAAATCAAATAAAGACAAAGTAGAAGGAAGTCCTGTTTTGTTTTGAACTTATAATTATGAACTTGACCCTGTGAGCGGTCATGCGTGCCCTTTCCTGGAAACCTCGACAGGATTTTGAACTCTGCATTCTGTCTTTAAAACTCGCGTTTTTCAGTTATGTGTAATTGTGAAGATTAATGGTGCATTTATTTAATGCTCTTGAAAAGGTCACCTGTCTCTTCTTGTGGTTGGACTTTTATAATTGCCTTTATGTTGGTGCCTGACTACCTAAAGTCCTGCATCCATTCTACAAGAACCGAGAAGCCCAAAGTTGTAGGACAAGAATGACATTATTATTATTTAGCGGCTCTGGTCTGGAAGTCCTTGGGACACGATGTGGACAAGCTCTTTTCTCATGTGGCGTCCCGACAGCTGTTGTGTGCATGGCCAGAAATAAGCCCTATGAAGGGAGCCGTGAAGATTTCCTGCACTTGAGATTCTCAGAAAGCACAAAATGTGCTGACCAGAACAAACATTTTCTGTTCTTGCCACTTTGACTGAACAAACCAATTTCTTAGTTGTTGTGGGAACATGCCCAGGCTGTCAGTGACGTTTTGACTCTTGAAATTCCAACGAGATTAAAAAGATAACGAAGAACAGGTCTCCGTGGCGGCTATCCCTTGAAGAGTCACTGGGGTTGCCACTTTGTTCAATGTTCACTGGGTTGTCTTATCAGTTTCATTGTCCTGTGAATTTCTTTTGTAGCACAGTTCTATAGTCAGTTGTTATCAGATCTAAACTTGCTTTGCTCATTTTTAACAATGATGCTAACACAGATATCTTTTTTGGAAGATTTACTGCAGACTGAAGTGGAAATGTGATCTTCTTACCGCCGGGAAAAAGCAAAATGACTTGTGTTTGTTATGTTTTGCAGGTGTACTTTGACTGCGGTGCCAAGGTGGATGTGGTGGACGTTCAGGGCCTCATTTTGTCTCCTGGCTTCCCCTACAACTACTCCTCTGGGACTCACTGTGTTTGGCAGTTTGTTGTTCCAGTCGATTACCAGCTTGTTCTGGAGATATTTGACTTTGACGTGTTCGAAAGCCACGATTCCGAAGCTCAGTACTCTGCTTTCTCTAATTTTGAAGAAGAAGACGAAGAGGCAGCAGCAGAGGAAAGAGGGAAGGTCACGCCTACTGGCTTATCCGCTGACGGAAGCTTGTCGGCAGCCGCAAAACCAGCGTTTCAGAGTGCAGGGGATCTTCTAAAGACTCCCCGAGATGGCGTACCTAATCAAGTCGTGGTCCAGGAACAGTCTACAAAAATCGAGATTGCCAAAGTTACAAATTCTGCCAAAAGATCTGCAGACCTTTCTTCTATTCAGTCTTCATTGGCCCCTTCTTCCCTCCTTCTCCTACCTGGTGCTGCGCCACCTGCAGACGAGATCAACAGCTCCGTCTCTGCCTCTCCCTCAAATGAAAATCTCAGTCCCACTTTGAGCCCAAGCGCGGTTGTGGAGGACACCACGTATGGCTCACCGCCCTCCACAGGAACTCCTCCTGTGAGCCCTGAAACTCAGCAGTCCATCCTTGACGCCTGCCCCCACGACGTCCTCTACATCTCAGACCTCATCACCTTTTCTTCTAGGTTCTGCGGGTCCAACCGCCCTCCCAGCAGCCAGCTGGTTTTTGGCTCAAGCCAAGAGATGGTGGAGGTCATCATGGAGCTGATCACCACCACCCACTGGGGACGCGGATTCGCGCTTCTGTTCCACTACCACAACCTGACTGAGCCGGGAGAGGACCAACGAGCCACGTCCCCATCAGGCGGCAAGGTGGACTCCCTTCTTGCCGCTGTGAGCGGAGCCGCTTTCTTCGCTCTGATACTCACGACTGTACTCTGCATCATTTTCAGGTAACAGAAGCAGCCACACAATTTAAACCACTGAAAATGGTTCCTAGAAAAAGGCTTAATGGAACAGCTAGTTGATCTTAAATCAGTCTGTGATTTGTGTTTGATACTGGAAGGTGCAGAGATTCACTGTCTAAACATTTTTCGCAGTTTTCATTAAACATTGGCAAGTTTGTGCCTTGGAAGATGAGTAACTGGAGCCTCTATACTAGCTTAATGTGAAATAATAAACCACTTTTGTTTGTTTTTTTTTAAATGAAAACTTTGCTTTCATTTAATATAAATATGTTATCTTGGAAGGAGTCAAAACCCAAAAGCAAATTCAAAACCAATACATGAGGCCTCAGTTAATATTCTAGTTCCGTTTGTTCTCCAGAGCTTCGATTTCCAAATCGAAAAAGTCAAAGAGAACATCGAACGCAGTAAAATCCCTGCATGGAAAGTGAGAGTTTACTATCCAATGTGGCTGCCATGCATTTAAAATGTGGTAAAAGTGAAGAACCAATTGTTCGTCCGTACTTCTGATGGGTTGCATCTCAGTAAACTTCTTTTATAAAACATTGTTTTTGTTGTTTACAGCCATTTCTAGCATCAAACGAGGATGCTAGCAACAAGACAGCAGAACCTGCTGGTTTTTTGTTTGTTTTTGTTTTTTTACTCTAGATTCACTGATACGATGTCTCTCTCAGGTCAGAGCTCTGACGTATGTGGCAAATTGAACACAGCGATATAACCCAGAGAGAAATTCCCAAGACCTGAACTCCTGCATCTCCTGCTGCGTAGCTCGGCAGCAAACGCACAAACTCTGGCCTGCGTCGTCGCGTCCCTGTAATGTTGACTCAGCTGGGCGCCTCGGTGCCTGATGCGGCGACCTTTGGTGATTAGCTGGCTTTGGCTGTGGCGGTGCGTCTTCCTTGATGTCGGCTTTTCTCACCAAACACCGAGAGGGCATACAAGGTGCAGCACCTGGCATCAATTCCAGCGCCACAAAACCTGAAAGGCAGGATGAAAGCAAAGGGCGGGTAACTGAGCGTCTAGGGGACGACCGGGAGAGGCAGAGCCCAGTGTGAGTTTGGTCGCAGTGCCATTCAAAGACTGCTATAAAGGTGTAAATTACATTTGTTCCCAGCCCCAAATAAGTGGCGCTAATCTTAAGAAAACGTAATACTATCCGTTCTGACGAGCTGATTGTTTTACCCCCTTGCTACGGATGGGTCTGAACCTCTGGAAGGGTTTTACATTTGTGTCTGTATTAATCCTCAACTTTCTGAAAGAATTTGAGCAGCTTGGTACGTCGGTCCCTCTGCAAGCACAACAACTCTGCAGGCTCTCACTTTATAAGGCCAGTAAAATTAGAAACACGTGTTCCATAAAAAGGCAATGTGTATAGCAACACCACAAACGCGGATGCACGAACACCCGTCGATACACAACTCCAGACGCAGAAGCTCAGTAGCTGCTTTTTTTGTTGTTGTTTTGCTTTTGTTTTCCCTCCTGATGTTCCCTATTAATTTATACGATTTCACTGAAACAGCTGGCACCAAGCCAGGCTAGTCAGGCACAATCATGCAGGTTTTAAGTAGCACTGAGTTCACTTTCAAAGGTGAAAATCGTTAGGAAACAGCCGGAGGTGGACGAGGGTATCCACAGGGGTTGCTCTCCATTTACTGGTGACAGGTAATGAACTCACTCAGCTGTGATATTCTCTTTTAATAAGAGCCTACATGCCTACGTATTTCATACTTCACTGGGTCAAATAGATCTCAAAACGTGGAGGAAAGTTCGACAAATAGTCCAGAAAAGACTGACAAGGTACTCCATCTTTTAAGAATATCAATAACAATGGCCATGTGTTTCGAGGAGATGTTTTTCACATTTTTCAACAACCATCAGTGTATTTTATAGATGTTTTGATATGACAGAGCAACACGACGTGGTGGGCGATTGTGAAGAAGGAAAGACTCCTGGGTTCTGCCACATTTAAAAAAAATATATATATTTTTTAAATACTTCTGAAAAGTCAACCTAGTTTACTCTGATACCACAAAATTAAACCCAGCACATTCAAGCACCGTCAGTTTCCGGCAAATTAGTGGGCAGACTCCACATGTGTGTAACTCAATCTCAGCATAAACCCGGCTACTATGTAAGGACGTCAGAGGTTTGAGGCTGTCAGAGGCTAACGATGGACATGAAGGCCAAGCAGACAGGTCGCGGTGAAAGTCATGGAGAGGCTTAACGCACGATTAGGCTATGAAATGCAATTCGAACATTGCCCTGCTCAATCCAAATGGAAAAAGAACAGCACGACGGAAAGTGGCCTGAGAAACGATGGATCGCCTTATCTGACAGGGCTGGACATGGAGAGCATCAATCAGTAAAGCAGACGAGAGGCCCTACAGTGAATCTAGAGCAGCTGCTGCGATCCGCAGTTTAAGTTGGCAGGACAACTATTGGCCTCGCACTCCATATATCTGCCCTTTCGTGACAACAAGAAAGCGAATGTTGACGAATGGCCACAAGAAGTCTTGTTTGAAGTTTGCCACTATCCATGTGGGGGACAAAGCAAACAGGGGAAAATATGTTCTAGTTAGGTAAATTCAAAATGTAACTTTGTGGCCTGCATGAAAAACGCTGCGCGGGCAAATTATGGGAAGAAATTATGGGAAGACTGCATTTTCCAGTTAAATGCAGGAAAACGCTTGAAGACCTGTCAGGAGACGCAAGTATCTAGAAACTGGACAGAGCTTAATTCTGGATCCAAGTCAGTGCGTCGTCCAGCGCCCTCTGCTGGACGACGGGCAAACTGCAACAGTGAATGAAGGTGGAAGTGGACGTTTTGAGTCAATCGATTGGAACTAATTTCAACCTAATAAACCATGAACCAACAGTTAGTCAGTCGTCCATTGAGAGTTTGCATTCCCAGTTGGTTGCAGCGCAATGTTAGCATTCCGTTACTGGAATGGTCCATTCAAGTCCAGGGCAAACAGGATGTTTATAAACTCCGTCGGTCGAGTTTGATGAAGCTTATTCTGTTTAGCTGAGAAAAACTGGAAGAATTCAGTCTCTAAATGTAGGACTCACCGACTCAGGGGTTTGATTACAAACACAGACTACAGGGGAAAAACGTGTTGCTTTCCTTCCACTTTCCAATTATACACTACTTAGTGTTGGTCTATCACACAGAATCCCCAAGCTTGTGGTTGTAACATGTCAAAAAATGGGTTTAAGTCAAGGCAAATGTTGGAATAATGCCGGCCTTCCTTTATTGGTGATGGAGAGCCCGGGTTAGGGCTTGTTATCACGCATCACAAAGTTTTAAATTCCTACCAGCGAAAAAATGCAACGACAGCTCAGCAACAGCCATTACAGGAACGGCTGGAGACGACTGGAGCGTTTGTGAGAAATCAAGTTTTTTGCGGTGCATCTTGCTTCATTATTCAGGGCCACAACAGAGCAAATACCGAGTCAGATCGCCACAGGTATGCAGGAGTTATACTAAAAGTTAATGGATGTAATTATATTGTCAGAAAGATCCCATTTCAGCACAGCTACATGGAACTGTGTCCATTTTCACATTTCTGGTCAAATTGCAAACATCAGAATGTTTTTTCCTCAGCAGCAGCTTCATGGAAAAAGGGCTTTCTCACACTGATCTGTCTTTAATTAGCACTTGAATTGATTATGGTTATTTTTTTTTGTTTGTTTTCCAGACCCAAACTGTGTCCAAAAAGAGCCAGTTCCTGCACATCCACCAACTCTGAGGTACAGAAACAAAATGTTTTTTTTTTTCCCTGAACATCCTCTCTGTTTGGCATTTTATTCTTTTGAAAATTTGGTGCTGGAAAGACATGATGCACAAAGCTAACAGTTTAGCTGAACTGTCTGTGTGCGTGTGTTTGTGTGTGTGTGTGGGGGGGAGGGAGGTGAGAGGGAAACAACCCCAGACTGTTAAATCCATAAAATTGGAGTCAGGGGCTCCATATTAAGCGCTGATTATTAGAGACTCCATAGGGAGTGAGAGGTGGACCTTGTCTTGTTTAAATCTCTGACGTCAAGGCGCCTGTTGTTTTTCTTTTTCCATCGCTGTTCGTGTGGTGAAAGAATTTGCGGGATGCCTACGAGTCTGGCACGGAATTTCACAAAAACCAAAAAAAAAAAAGAAAAAAAAATAGAAACAAGATTTAGAGATTGTTTGCTATTGACAAATCTATTTCTCTTTATAAGCTAAAAATGTTCTCGTAATATTTTCAAGTGGATCGTCTTTATCTAAAGACTCTGTTTATAAGAAGGATCAGATGCTGGTCCCTGTTTAAATACGTCTGCTTCTCCTCGTTCCTCCCCGCTTGTTTCTCCGCATGAGACTTATCCCCTACCTGCCTTCTTGTCTCTGCTGTCTGGTTCATTTGTCAGACATTCCTCTGGAAATGGAGGTTTATCCGGGCTCACCGGACATTTCTTTTAATATATTTTCGTTACCGAGGGTCAACGCCGCCTTGCTTCTGTGGCTCTGCCTCGCCCACTCCCCCCTGAGGCGAACCAGCGGAGGTTCACTCCAGGTCACAGATTTACAACAAAGGCTGTTTGGTAACATTTGCAAAGCCTGCTTTACAGCCTTATTATCCTTATCTGTGTTGTTGTAGCGGAAATTAGACTTTGACTCATTTTTTTTTTTTTTTTCAAATCTTCAGTCAACGGAAAACTTGGTTATAACCAGCTGATTAAAAAAAGAAATAATTATTTTTGCTTGAAGGGTAAAAATCATAATTTTTTCACGTCATAAACTAAGTGTGAACAAATGATCTCAAATCATGAGGCAGAGTCATTCAAGACGTCCAACCTAACTTGTCTTGATGGTGAAAACAACATAGCAAGAGCAAAAACAAGAGATGAGTACCAATCCGATCAATATCCGATCTCCAAACTTTGTAAAGCCAAAAATCTTCTTTCTGTCGCGACGTTCTCGTCAGAGTTGTAGTCAAGTCCGGCCGAGATGAGATCAAGACGTTGAAGGAAGTGAGATGAAGTCCAAAACCAACCCAATGAGACCAATTTCAAAACCATTGCTGTACTCATAAGAATGTCCTGTAGATGCTGCCGCTAACATTTCCAAAATAATCTGCCTGTATCAAGTTGTTCGCCAGCTAACTGATAACATAACAGGAATCCAGGGTGATTGGTTGCATTAGTAACGACTTCCACACTGAAGAGTGTTGCGACAAGTGTGTTACCGATTGGGGAAAAAAAAGTCTAAATTTACTTTCCAACTTGGCCAGTCAAGTTGGAAATTGTCAGATCCACAGTGAAGCTATACTTTCCAAGATTTTCATGTTTTTCTGTTTTTTATAGATATTTTTTTGTGGGACTTTAACACAACACCCAATGTGTTTCAAGCATTGATGTGATGAATAATCTGCTTGCATTGTATGTTGCAGGTCGCGGAGGGAGCCCAGAGCGTTGCCGCCGAGATCAGTGAGCTCCAGCTGATGGCTGAGAATCAAGCCGGTCCGGAGTCGACCGCAGAGCAGGACACCCACAGCAACCAGCCCCGTTCAGGTTGGGAGGTGACACACCTACACAGATCCATGTATTCCCACAAAGTGAATTCCTCAATGACTGAGCAACTGCCCCGCTCAGCTATTTATTTAAATTCAACCCCGGAATGCGTCAGTAATACCGCTGAAACGAGCCGAGGGCCCTTCAAAAGCAAAGCTTCTGTGGATGTGGATTTATTCACGCCACTTTTGGCTGGAATATTTCACGAACGATAATAACACCATCGAGGATATAAATCTTTTCATGTGGTCATTGTGCTCCGTCAGACGTTAGAGTGTATCCTCCACGCAGGGCGGGGAAGCAGATCTATCAGCTTGGCTGCGTGGGAATGGATTCTGATTTACATGCTGCCTTTTCCTTGCTCTTTCAACAAGTTCTCCACTTGTGAAGTGCCAGGGGGTTATTCACACATCTGCCAAACATGTGTCATAATCCTAAAATGAAATCATTCCGTTGTTATTAATCTCACTTTAAAAGAAGAAAAGCCCAGCCGTTTTTAACAAAAATCAGCTGACCCAAAGGTTTAGCATCACAGCAATTTTAGAAAATAAAAGTTACAGAACTATTTATTTATTCCTCTGTATTATTATTATTATTTTTTAAATTGACCCGTATAATAATCCCTTACTTGCTGACCTCCCGCGGGTATTAATATGAAGCAACGCATGATTCCGTTTCTCTTAACCATTCACAACATAAGAAAGACAAGAGAACATGCCAGTCGGGTATAGCAGAAACTATCCTTGGTTGTACTTGCCTAAACTCGTCCATATCTTCAGGTAGAGCAGTAATCAAAACGTTTTGAGCAGCTGGATCTGTGACAGTCGAGTGCAGCAAAAGCTTTTTGTATGGGATTGTTCAAACTGAACTTTCTGCGGGTCAACCTGTGAAGCATGTGCAAGTGGCTGCCTTTTTTATTTTTTGCAAAAATACATGCAGAAACCGTCACAGAGATCCAACAAAATCCACTGACCTTCAATTTCGACTGGAAGGTCACGACTTAGTGCACTATTATAGTCTGCAAAATATATAACAGTGTATTACAAACATGTTTGCAAAATGGATTTACTAAAAGAGATGGCATTTATAACTTGAGAAGATCAGCGATAAAATAATAATAAAATAATAATAAAAAAAGTGAGAACTAAATAAGTGGAGCTCTGTATTTCTGTCATTGGAACAAATGTGTTGAACAGTCCGTCTAAAGACACCAAAGAGTGTTGGTCCATTTGTACTTTGATGACAATAATAAAATATACTTAAAATAAATAATGAAGTGTATTGATTCAGATGCGAAAATTAAATATATATTCTTTCTTTATTACTACCTTTATTTGTACACATTGGCTGTGGTGTGTTTAAAGATATATGTGGATGCTTGATTGACTTTTGAGAGAAGGGGTTGACCATATAAGTTTCTTTTTTCTTCAAACGACTCCTTTTCATTCAAAACGTTTGTTCATGTCAACATGTGACAATGGGTTGATTTTAAGCTATTCATGTAAATGAATGAAATAAACAAACAAATAAATATGCTGCTGAACCGCAGCAAAACTCTTTCTAATTTTAAATACTGCCAACTATTTACCTTTGTTTCCTTTTGTCTTTTACAGTGTTTCCATTTAGAGTGGCCTGAGGAAGTGCTAAACTAATGCCAGCACGATTACTCTCTTTTATTACAACGTATTGAGAATTTCGCTCATAATAACAGTTAATATTGTTAAGAGACAACTAAACAAAAAGGCTGATCTCCTTCTTCATAAGCTTCCTGCTTTGTTTCAAATGCCATCATCTTTGGTGACGCAGGCTGCAGAGCGCTTTACAGAAAAATGCTGCAGATCACAAGCTTCCTCCTGGCCGTGAAAGTGTGTCTGCGTGGACACAAAGCCCCTGCTGTGTTGCCTGACAGTTTTGCACTTTGTCTTTCCGCAGACGCTGCTGAAGGCGATGTGCCCCAGACGGCAGACGTGGAGCTCTACTGCAGCGGTTTGACTGAACTTGATCTCGGTGCAGATGAGGTTTTCATTGCATCACCAGCGGCCTGCCCAAGCCGGCTGCTCTTCTACCCCCACGCTGTAAGAACCTGTTGGATATTAACATTGATGCCTATTGAACCTTACGGAAACAGTTCACACCCTGTGAGACTTTCCAGAACTTTTTTCCACGGTCACAGATGTCAATGTGTTTTGGGGGGGATTTTATTTGATAGACTGACACAAGGCAGCTTGTAGTCACGTTGCAAAGCCCTCCATCTCCCTGCTGGAGTGCAAAATACTGCAATGACTACCATTGGTTTTAATTGTCAATACTATAACAGCTAGACAACAAGGTCCAAGCTTATCACCTTTCACAGGTCAGGAAAAAGTCTTAATTAAAAACAGCGAGGTACAGGGAAGTAGTTCAGCTATGCTAGCTTGACTTTGACAACCTTAACATGGAGATGTGTCGCGAAATTTGGGCACGTGTCAGTTCAGTAAAATAAAATAATAAATAAAGGCGACCCACGCCCCAACTCTGACAATTCATCAGTAGAGCAGATGGTGAAATTGGCTAATGAACCACTGCTGTGTTCAGACGTCTTTAATTAGCAACAGAATTGTTCTACCAAGGCAGAGCGGCTACGGATAGGAAATAAAAGAATAGTCTTCTGATATGTTGTTAGCCTGAAGCTAGCCTCAAGCTAACCGAAGCATTAAGTTTCGATTAGCTTCAGTTTCGGTTAGCATAAAGCTATAAAAATACGCTTTTTTCCCTTGACTTTTGTTGCCGGTGTAGGAGAAGGAGACCCCGTAGCTCTTCCTGAGCTCCTGACCCCGTTCCTCTCGTAGCACCAGCGCGCTAACATTGGTTCTCCGATGTGAAATGACGAGAGTGGCGCTGAATGCTGTCCGCTAACCAGGGGCGCGATGCGGCTGTGAATTCCTCGCTTTGCACGCCGGTTCAAAGGTCGATGCTGTGAGGACGAGAGCAAAAACAAAAACAAAACAAAACAAAAAACCCCCACAAACCCTAAGTTCTGTGTTTCGACCCGCTAATTTGGAAAAGTTCCCAGAACAAATGAACATCGGAGGTGGCAGAGCATTGGCTTTTCTTTCTTTTCTTTTTTGTTGTCTGAACTGAGCCAATGTTCCCAATAAGACCGATACGATTATTCTGACGTAGGCCTACTTGAAAAGTACAATCTAAAACTATGTCAACTATGAGGACATGAAAGGGACATGAGGATAATTAAAAGAGGAGGAGGAGGAGTTTTGAGGAAGCAGGCGCCTTCTTTTCCCCTTTTGCTCTCTTTTGTGCTCTTTTGGAATAAGAGTTGGCATAAAACAACTCTGGCAGCTTTTTGAAGGACTGGCAGGCTTTTCTGCAGCCTGGGCTAATGGAGTATTATCTTCAGAGCCAGATTCCCAGCTCAAAGTGTGTGTGTGTGTGTGTGTGTTGCTGTGTTGTGCCGCTGCACGCTTTTGACACAGTGTGTGGTCTGGCCGTGTGTGTGTCCTCGATTCAGAAAACCATGTAAGTAATGTTTGGTAAATGTTACATGAGAACATTTAGGCATTGCAGAAATAATCAGTGGGCGGGGAAGTTAGTTGGAAGGTAGACATTCGTGCAAGGGTCATTAACTTCCGTGTTTTAAGTGCTTCGGCTTTGATTTGATCTTTTTTGCTGGTGTAAAAGAAAAAAAAAAAACGCTTCCACAAAATCTCTAACTGGTTCGTTTCGACAGCATTCTACGGTTTGTTGCTCGAGGTTCTACTAATCTGTGTGTGTGTGTGTGTGTGCCGAGCCCCCTTACTGCCCCCCAACCTCCTCCTGAAATGTTTCCAGCTCGATCTCTTGATTGACTGGGGTTGCTGATCTCTTGCCTCGTGTCAAATGTAAAAGTTGCCATTGTGTTTGCGGGGCTTTACCGGGCAAAAGAACGTTTTAATTAAAGCCCCGCGCTAATTCTTGTCTAGACAAAGCTGTGCCGCTGCAGACTCCGTGGGAAGGATTAGTGCTCTCTGAAACAACCAAAGCCTCCGTCCTGTGCGGATCGACGGGCAACCGGCTGATCAAGATCGATGAAGTAACTTTTGCACTTTTTAATTTGCTGACTGGGTTTTTTTAGCCGCTCCAGGAAAGCTGCAACATGTAATGTGCACCAAAACGCCACGGCGACCGATTTTATTTCATCTCAGGGGTTTTGCATTTCAGGACTTTATGAAATGTCAAAATTATAGAAATTAAAATGTATTAATGTATATTAAGGAATTACTGACTTGAAACAAGCTCCTGTTTCTTGCCAAAAAGTTAGTTGTAAGTTAGTTTGCTCTGATTTCAGACATTTGCACTAGAAAATGTAACCAAGTTTTGGTGAGATTGAATTAAATTTTTTTGCAGTGCAGCTTTGCTCCAGATGAAATGGAAATTACTCCAAAATTCCTATATGTTCTCCTAACAGCTTAATTTTCTTACATTTTATTTTTTTACCCTCAATTAAAAATGAATGTCTCAGCTGATCAGCACCTTTGCTTCAGCTAACGCATCAGACATAACTAAATGCGCTGGGAGGCGTTCAGGTGCAAAGCTGTTTTCTGTGTGAAATAACAGACTTCTTTATATTCCAAACCGTAGAGGATGACAGCGGTAAGAAAACCGCCGGCATATCTCGGTCTAATTTAGTTTTCCAGGCGACGGTTTGACGGTTAAAGATCGCCGGTCGCTGCTCAAGCGGAGATGCGTGCTTGATTTGTTGACGGTCTGTCCGGCCCGGTGCAGGTCAGCGACCTTGCTGCTGCAGTTGAGTGCAGAATAATAATGCCGTCTCTGATATGGAAGCTATTTATGTTGTCTGCTGAGCCTTATTTCTAATTTGTTTGTTTACAGTGTTCGGGCAACTCTTGTCTTTTAACCTCTGCTCATTTATTTGCCACGTAGCTTGTTCCTTCCTTTCTTGCTGTTGCTTGGTATCCATGAATCCCCTGCAGGCAGAGGTCGCAGGTTCAGAAAAAGCAGGCAAGAAAAAGTGCAAAACAAATACGTATATATATTTCAAAAAAGAAAATTAACTTAGATGAACTATGAAAGGCAATATGTCACAATGCAGTGTATTGAAAAAGTGTCAGTAAATTGCACTCAGTGACTGCATTTAAACATTGTTTTAATTTTATTGATATGAAATGATATTGTCATTGAACAAACAGCGGAGAAATTATTAAAACTGACAATCTGGACAGGTTTTAAAAAAAAATTCAACAATAAATAAAATTTAAAAAAAAAAAATTTGTCACGATAAATGATGCGATAAATGGCAAACTCGTCTGGACGTTAGTTCAGATAAGAGACCATGAATTGGTAGATTTTTCTGTGCCTCATTTTTAAAATATTTAGAATATTAGTATTTTATTTTAGTCAGGCGTCTCGAAGCAAATGGGCCTGAAAACAAATGTTCGCCACACTTTTCAGATTTTGATTTGAATATTAAAAAGAGGGGCTTAAAATCACGTCTCTCTTTTCCGCCACTCCATTACTGTCGTCTTCCTTCTGTTGATTCACGGCATCAAATTTAATAGGATGCATTCAAGTTGACGGCTGCCACATGGTGTGTTTCTTAGCAGCGGGAGAGGTTCCTGCGGCACAGTGACACCGGACCCGGTCCCTCGCGCGACTGGCCCTCAGCGGACACCTCGCCGGCCGGGGCCAGGTCCCTCAAAGAGAGCGTCTGCTCGCGGCCGAGAGCCTGGAGCGTGCGCACCTTCCAGGACTTCCTGCCGCCGCTGCCGCAGCTTCACAAGAAGTGGTGCAGCTGGAACTCCACCAGCCCCTTCACCAAGCTGGTGGACAACGTCAGTACTCGCCTCTTTACTCCAGACTCGGTTTCACCTTGGGCCGCATCACGGTCGCGGGTGTTTTTAAAGGGCCGATTGAGCCCGAACGGATTCTTAAAACCCACTAAGAAACTATTAAAATGTTAACAAATAGTGTCTGCAATTGATTAGACGATGCTTGGATATTATCTAATTTGCTTCATGTAAATTAAATAATGTTCTTACTTAATGATAAGAATGTGCAGCAATTTGTTGCTGCTGCGATCATTTTTAAGATTTTAATACAAGTTTCTGGAGGTCGTAGAAGGTCAACCAGCCTCGTCCGCATTTATGAAATCAAACAAATTTGTGCTGTTCTGTGTTTGTGCAGCAGAATGATTTTTGTTTGAAGATATGAATGAACATCTAAAGGTCAAGGGTTCAATCGGCCTCATCATATTACCCAATTCAAATAAAATTGGTGCTAAATGTTGACACAGTATCTGAATGTGCTACGTTAGCAGCACAAACGATGCACAGGCGATTAACATCAGGTTTGTTTGATTTAGTAGCTAGGCTAGCATCAATTAAACCCAAAGTTTTGACTTTATCTTGCAGAAAATTAAGCTCTTAATGATGCAATAGGACAAAAAAAAAGTATATTTCTGTGAATCTCAGCGATGGTGGAATTGGAACTGATTGATGCAATTTTGCATCACACAGGCAAAAGCCATTTTGGTTTGATTGATAAAATAATATTTAAGCACACAACCGTTGAAGGTTGCATTTCTGTCATGGAGAAATACAACCGTAAAGATCCGGATTTGAGTTTTACACGTGCTTTATAGCGACTGACATTCTGAGAGCCCGGTTTCATATCTTCTAACCCGTCGAATATTTCATTTCAGACGCCATCTGGTTTGATCCCCGACTGCAGAGAAAGCAACAGCAGGAAGGTGTTCTCCAACGCCCACCTGGAGGCGCAGGTGAACACCAGCATCGTCTCTGACTCCTCCGCCAGCAACGCCTCCTACCCCCTCACGCAGCCCGCACAGCGCCAACGCCGCCTCAACTCCACCAGCAACCTGCGCCGCTCCCGCTTCACCGGGCCGTGTTTCGGCCTTCTCTCCGAAACAAAAGATCCACCGAAGGGGGGCGGCGTCCCCCCGGGCTGCATCCCCTCGGAGACCGGCCCTGGCTCTTCTTCCCCACCCTCCTCCAGCTCTTCCTCCTCCTCCTCTTCCGCTCAGTGCCACGTCGAGAGCGGGCCGGCCGGGAAGAGGCTGGAGTTCCCAGGCGAGGGCCATCACATCAGCGTGCCGGTGTTCGCCATCTCCGAGGAGGAGGACAGGCAGCCGCTGGTCTCGGCCCAGCACCTGGAGCAGACGAACGGACCGGTCGGGGCGAAGCTCGAGAGCAAACGGCCCCCCGCAGGCAGCGTCAGCCCCAAGAGGCTCAGGCCGGAGTGGAGGCCGTGGGGCAGCCAGGTGTCGGGGGGCGCTGCCCCGCCGGCTTCAGGAGCCTTCAGGGAGTCAGGCGCGCTGAAGAACGGCCAGCCGTCCGTGAGTCTGTCCACGGGGCTCTGCTCCGTGACAAACCACATGTGACCAGGAGCCGGGGAGACGAGACTGTGCTGACCCAGACCTGGATTTCTGTACTAGTGGCACTTTCTTTTTTTTTTTTTCTGACAATGACTTTTCCAAACTCCACTCTGCACCGCAAAAACACAAAGTCTTACCAAGAATGTTTGGTCCAGTTTCCAGTGCAAATGTCTTAGATTTGAAATATAAAGAATGAACTGACTTTAGGGCAAGAAGTAGGAACTTTATTCGAGTCAGTAATTTAATATTAATGAAAAAGCTTGAGGTATAACTTATAATGCAAAAATTACATGAAAAGTTAATATTTTTATATAACTTTTATATTAAAAGTTAAAAATTTTCCCCAAATTCCAACTTATAAAATGGTAAAAATGTCTTTGTTCCACTGACCGATATTTTACTCAAAACTAGTGCTTTTTCATAAATATTAAAAAAATTATTGACTCAAAGCAAACTCCTGTTTCTGGCTAAAAAGCTTCTTTGAAGACAGCTTTGTCTTATTTCAAGTGTACTACGATGTTATTCGGTACTCTAAGAAACCGAACCAAAGATACTTGGTGAGATTTTGCGCCGGCTTATCATTTCTTATGTACACATATGAAAAAGGTTCTTGGACAAAGAAAACGCTGTTCATTCCGCAGAGGGACTGACTTTGTTAAAAGCACAAACGGCGTTTCTTCATGTCTGTTAGCTCCTGCGTTTCAGCCGCCGCACTGTCCTGCGGTTCTCCGTGTCGCTTTTTACCCACGAGTATTATGTAGGGCGTAGATAAATCATTTGTATCACTGTCACGTCGGTGTACGTGTTCTTACGACTGATGGCGGATTCTGAAAGGGAAGTCGGAGCGCAATAGAAAGCGAGAATAGAGACCGTTATGCCGAACAGAGCACTTAAACGATAGTTGTTCATATGTAAGTAGAGGCTCAATAAACAAGCAACTGTTAACATCTGGTGTTCTTAATTTGGCAAAAAAAAATAAAATAAAGTAAAATTTAACGCTCTAGGATGTTTTCTGCACGTTCACCGAAATTGTGAACTTCCCGTGAAGATATGGTCATTCCTGTTAAATTAGAATATCACTGAAAATCCCATTTATTCTGTAAATGCATATATTCCTGTTTGATATAAAATTTTACATCATAAAGCAGAGAGAAATCTAAAACCTGGCTGTACAGTAAATTTTAATGGTGAACAAAAGCAGCGACCCAGAAGTCCTTTTGAACTATATACATTTTATTATATTTGAATGATCAGAAGTCAGAGCTGAAGGCATTTCAAACAGTTTCGGTGCTGCCGACGCCACGAAACGTACATTTCTCAAAGTCCACGACAAAATTCCTGCATCTCCCCACTGATTTACGATCCAACTAGAGCTTGATTATGATCTCTAGAGTCATTCTTAAAATAGTGCAATGCATCCAAGCGTTACAGGCATTTAGATTTACATCCCCCCTTTCCAGAGGAAGCACATGCAGCTTCTGTCTGTCGTCCCTTTTGAATCCAAACTTCGTTCATATGTATTGCGATGAGGTAGAATGAAACCTGCGGCTTGGGATTGTTTTTAGCCCAGCCGGATCTCCTGCAGTGAATAATTAAAACTCGTCTGTGTGTAGGGGGGGGGGGGGGGGAGGATCAGGTTGATCTGCTAAGAATGCATATTTAGACTCAGCATGAAATAATTAAAAAAAATAAATTTAAAATACAGAAAACATGTGACCTAACCCCACACATACGAAGGTAGAAACAGGAAAGTGCCCTTTAACTACGATTTTTTATTTGCCTCGTCGATTTAACAGGCAACATAAAACTAAATATGATAAAAGTTACACGTACATCAGGATGTTCAGTAATGTTTTGAGCTTTCTCTTAAATGTGAGAAACTTGAGTAAAGATCATCCATGTCCAAGACAAAAAAAACAAAGAAATCTGCATATATTTCAAAAATCAATAAGAAATCCACATGAAACTTGGCCTTTCTAAGACCTGCTTTAAGCATTTCTACTTTTTTACATCCGTCACCATTTTCAACACACTAATAAACGGAAGATTAGTGATACATTTAGAGTTTTAATAGAAAAAAACCTTTAAATCTACTATATAGAAGTGTCAGCCAGACAAACTAGAAGACAAGCATGATTTGTCCAGTTGTTACTACGTCAATAATCTGAGATATTGATAGTCTTATAGAGGATGTCAGTGCACTTCTGATTCCCCCCGTCCCCTTCTTTGCCCATTTTGCAAAGAAAGTTTCAAAGTGAAAGTGTTGTGTACCTGAGGAGCGATAAGAGAAAAATCAACAGAGATCAACGCTCTGAAGAGAGGTAAGATTAATGTGAGTCACTGAGCGCACGCTGCGCCTCTCACTGGCTTGAGCCATCGAAGAGTTTCCCGTAAACGCAGCCGAGAGTCGCAGCTGCTCTGACTTGGTGTCACTTTTCCTCGCTGAAGTTCTACAGAAGGAAGCAACGCATTTCATCACACAGATTAGCCCTTACTACACGGCAACAGCAAAATCCTGTACAGATATCACTGGATTGCAATTAGTGTGTGTGTGTTTTGCTTTTGCCTTGAAACGCAGTTTTATAAGCAGGAAAAAAACGATCCCTAAGAGGTTATACTTAACTGGCTCATGCTAGCAACGTATAGCATTGTGATGGACTGCTTTAGAATGAAAATACTTTACTGTTCTGGTGACCCTTATGAGTGCATCTGAATAAGCTGGAAGAGAAAGGTAATTTAGCGAAGTAATTCCACATGAAAACTCAAGATGCGCCACTCTTTTTTTTTCTCCTTCCACTCAACTTTCCAGATCCTTTGACCAATCACTTTTTGTGGCTTACTTTCAATGAAAATAGACGATGCATTTCTGCTGGTCCCTCCAACCCCCAGGTCATTTTTGAGTTTTCATTCATTTCAACCTGCAATTGCTTAAATAAAAAGAAAAAGAAAAAGAAAGCTGACATACATAGCGTGATGATTCTTTCTCTACACAAAACTCTACACAAAACTTTCAGTTTCTGTGTAGAGTTAGTGAAATAGATGAATGCCATTGTAATTTACTTAGTAAATATATGTCACATGATTATTTAGATGTAATGAGTTATGGAAATCCCTGAATAATAACGTTAGCATATTGGGAAAACGTTCAAAAATAATTCTCTCATGAAGAAAAGCAGGAAAAAAAAAAGCGACTTGTTTAGCATGCGTACGTATTCCTCTTCCATACACAAACCGATTCTAATCTAACAACAAAATTTAAGTGTTTGTTGCCCAGGGTGACGGCGACATTAACCATTTCACCACCTAAACAAATGATTTCTTTACCAGATGTCGGCTGTTTCGCTGTGTTTATTCTGAGCAACAGCAACTTGCTCGAGTGAAAATACCTCCACTCAAAAGGGAATAATCCTAATGTGCATAGATCCCGCTCTCCTGAATATCTGTGGAGACACGGTCATTGTTGTAAATGGACACTGATTGTTAATATGTGCATTAGGCAATTGCATAAGGCGGGTTCGTCTACGGCGGGCAGAGCGAAACGCATCGAGTTCGTGTTTCACATGTGCATTTGACTCAGAAGAACCCAACGTCCGGCTCCTTCAGCTCTTGAAACGCGTCTGTTCACATATGTGGTTGAATTTTCTGAAATGAAGAAGGGAAGAATCAGCTTTGCATTCAAGAACCACAGAGAAACGCATGAGGGGTCGTTTCGGACAAAAGCTACGTTTTGTCTCTCACGCACTACTGAAGACTGACACGCACCCACAAAATACTAAAACTGCACACAAACACTACTAAAATATCACACATTCCTACAATTTGACTCTCTCACACGCACATAAAAGACTAAGATTGCACATATAAACTAATAAAATATTTTGTGTGTGTGTATGAGTCTTCAGTGGAGTGTGAGAGACAAAACAGTGTTTGTCCTAAACTGCTCTCAATGAAACATCTTCCCCTGGTGTTCAGACAAAAAAAAAGGGTTTATACAAGGTCTCCCTCTTGTGGTTGTACAGGGATAAGACATGCACAAAATTCTCACATCAAACTTTGGCGGCTGAAGAAGCGACACGGGACTTACACTGCGTGATGCGCCTTCACCTGCGTGCGGCAGTTACGGCCCCAGTAACAGTCGGGACGAGACGTCACGGAAGCTGAGGACGAACGGATGTTACACGAACGCAGTGAAAGTGTTTGAAATGCGACAGGAAAGGAAAGCCGCAGCCTCGGCGGCGCAAAATCCAGACCTGGCAGCTCGGCCGGAGGGATGTTCTGTCTGTACTTGTAGGCCAGCTCCTTGAAGGCTCGCAGGCCGCAGCAGAAACACAGCAGGGTGCCCGCGGAGATGCGACAATCTGAACGAGACGGTCAGATCATTTGATGAGGCGATTAATCAGATTTCTCTATTTAATATTCTACTAATTTTAGAAACCGATTAATCGTTAACTGGGGTAAACAATCACCTGTCAGGAGAAACTTTCCCTCCTGTAAGCCTTGCAAGGACTCCTGGAGCAGATCTTTCCATGTCTTCCCCGTAGCAGAAAGGTAGTTCTGGCGAAAATATCAAATCAATACATTAAATATAATGCATTGATACGTGGATTTCATATCCAGACTTTATGCAAACTCAAAGTAGATCCTGCAGTCAAAAGTTCTATTTTGTTTGATGGTGTGCATTCAAATTAGCATTATGCTTAAAAAACCCCAAACAACTCTGATTTAAAACAAGAAGAGCGGAGTAATCATTGAAACAAATAACAAAGGGTTTACGTACTTGTAGAACCTCTGACTCGTATGCGTTGTTGTTCAGCACGCCGTCCAGACACTTTTCAGTCAGATTGAGCTCTGGGGGAAAAAAAAAAGAAAGGTCACAGGTCACAAAGTGTTTTTAATGGAAATGGAGAAAGTAGGAGGTTGATGTTCCACTAAAGACAACGCAGTCGATCAAGTCAGCGAACCACGCGCATGTTAAAGGATGAACGGCTGTGATACGCACCACTGAATGGAGCCAAGCAGCCATGGCAGCCAATCCTCTGGCAGCCCCAGTACATGTGGCAGAACGGACTCTGGCACAGCATACCTGCCGACACGCAACGCATGAAGGTTTTCACCCGGCTGAGCGTCATTTATCACAATCTGTGCAGCTATGTTTTTATTTGTTTATTCATTTTTAAAGGTACAAAGAGGGACGAGCAGGCGATGGGACAACTCACATTGCTGAGCGATAACTTGCTGCTGGTTGTTGAGCTCGGCCCGCCGGTCGGGCATCGGCTGGAGGCAGCAGGTGCAGATGAGGTGGCGGCCCTGAGGGGAGCAGCAGTACTCCTGCGGTGCTGCGCAGCAGAGGCAAGAGGAGGAGTTTCAGACATCGTTAGAGACCGGTTTATATCATGAGCGTCACGCTTAAAACTAAACATCCCCTGAAATCTTACTTTTTCTAAAAGTTTGGGATCAGAATTTGTCGGTCTTGACCCAACTAAAAGGTTATTCTGTAAAATGAGGGTGATGGGTGTCGAATCTCGACTTTGCTTCCTGGTTTACAAAAACATTTTCTGTCCACAATACAATACAAAACTACAGTGTGTGACGGCGTGTCACCGTCTAGCCTCCCTTACCCCTGCATATGTTTTTCTACCTAGCAACCATAGCAGTGCTAAACATGAGCTAAAATTAATTTTGTTAAGTTTTTTAGTCCTTTTTAATTAATTAAATTAATACACAAACATCATCAGGTCTATTCAGTCTATTCAAATTAAATAAACCTAATAACACAATCATTTTAAGATTTGTATTTTAAAATACTTTTCTTTCCCTATTAATTGTCCTCTTCCATTTTGTCCGTCATTGTTACAAGAACAAAAATGTCCTGTTGCGTAATTTCATACATTACACACTTGAAATCTACAAAAATGAGCCAGATTTCATTCTGAATAACAAATACGCCACATTCGTAGTAACATTTCAGCACCAGCGGAGATAACAGCAGCTGCATCCCCACGTTAAATAGACCATTAGGTCATCATACATATTATCTTCAGGATTTCTGGGAACGGACTGTGATGTTTTAACTCAGATTTCGTACTGTTTGAACTTCACACCAGCCGGTGCTTAATCTGGACTCACCAGAGGGCCGGTCGGAGGACGTGGAGGGCTGCTCCCCGGCCGGCCGTGCTGCCCTCTCCCCACTCGCAGGTGTGGCAGGAGGCTGGACAGGTGGCAGAGTTGGAAGACCAGTGAGCCAATAGTTTGAGCTCGAAGCAAACAGAACTTGGCCCATATCCCGCATGTAGCCCGGACACTGCCTGCACATCAGAAGGGGCTGACTGCAGGGACAGAAATGCGTAGCAAAGGTGAGTAAGGACATAGGAAACAAACATGCTTTTCTGGTTTAGCTTTGCTGTGTTTGTTCTTTTTACCTAATGTCTGAAGAGTCGCTGTCATTGTCAGACAGCTCAAAGAGGTAATCTGAACTGCCCTCCTCCTCAGAGAAGGAACGCTCCACTTTGGGCTGCAACATGTCCTGAGTGATCTTGTTTTGGCTGTTCATGCTCTTCAGGTCCTCCTCACTGCGACTCTTCTCTGTAAGACAGACAGAGGCGCGCTTTGGGTTTAGAAACACAATCCTGAGGTCAGCACATATTGGTCTCTCATAGGGCCGGGAGATAAATAGATTTTTGAAAATGTCATTTCGGAAAAATTTAGATTTGTTTTTTTTCCCCCACCAATGCGCTCCTCGGTTCTCCGTGGTACATTCATATCTTCATTTGGACTTCACTATTGCACTAAATATATTTTTAAGTCTCCCTTGGTGTGCAATTTATCAATGTTATGCTGAAATCATTTCAATATTTAAAAATTTTATTTAACAAAAGCTTTTTCCGAGAATTATTTTGTGTCAGGCTTTAAGGGGTTAAACGAAAATTCTCACAGCAGAGCCCTAATATTCTGTTGTGCAACTCACAGAAGAGATGACTGAAATAAAAGTCAGTTTTTCAAAATATTTTAAATAATGAGAGGAAAAAAAAATCTTTAAAAATCTCTTACAAATTAGAAACCGAGGAAAAGAAGGTTTATTTTGAAGCAACGTCGCCCAGCCCTGGTCTCTTGTGTCACTACATGTCACAATCACGCGTGTGCTGCAAACCTGGATGCTGGATGAGGTAGGCCTCCACCAGGTCGTTCAGAATGCGGTTTTTACAAATCCTCTCCACGGGGCAGCGGCAGGTGGGACACAGGGACGAGCGCTCCATCCAGCCAGAGTAGCAGGCGGCGCAGAAAACGTGCATGCAAGGCTGCAAGCTGAAGGCACAAAACAATAGAGCCAAATATATAACTCTGACATAAGTTCAAGTGACAAGCCAGACCAAAAATAAGTAAATAAATAATACAATTTGAAGGACCTGCAGAGGTGTGCACAGAAATTTTGGGGGAGAGGAGCTCAAATGGGGAAAAAATGGGCACCTTTTCCTGGCCAGTATGAGATTTATTACATAAAGTCTTATTGGGCAAAATTACAAAAACCTGGGGAACAAGAAACTTGGGTTATTAAATCTAAAAAAGTGCTACACTGAGCCACACACTATACTACGGAAGCCAAGAGCAGACAACTCTGCATATTTTTTATTGAAATCAAGTTAATTTCCCCAAAGGTTTTCTTGAAATATGGAGTTATCCTTCAAATGCGAGCCACAACAATCAGGTTTAACACACACAACAAGCATCTCATGATCACCTCTTTGCGTCGAGAAAAACGTCAGGAAATTAACTTGTTTATCTCGAGAAAACCATTAGTAAATGAACTCATTGTCTCAAGAAATAAATTAACTCATTATGTTGAGAAAATTAGAAATTGACTTGTTTTATCCCCCCCCCCCAAAAAAAAAAACAGAATATGAACTGGAAAATTTATATGCAGTAAGTTCTCTCTTTTGGCTTCCATGCAATACATTGTAGAAAAACAACAACAAAAAAGACATTTCAGAAGGGCACTTTTTTTTTGTCCAGATGAAAGGGCAGGTGCTCCAGCCCCATCTGGAGTCCATCTGTCCCTGAGGATGTTTCTTCTGACTTCTCACCTGATGCAGTCGTGCAGCAGGTCCTGGCAAATGACGCATGTCAGCGACTCCTCCATCTTGTCCGTTTTAGTCTCTTTCACTGGCGGTGCAGACGGAACATCCCCCTTAGCTGATCCTGTCACATCTGTAAAAAGGTTACGTGTTCAGCACAAATCAGAGTCTGTAAAAACATTTGTATTTGTCATACGGCTGAAACGATTCCTCGCATGATTCGAGTACCTCGATTATTAAAATTCTCCAAGGAAAATCTACCTGCCTCAAAGCTTCGTGAACTTATGGTATTATTTGGTGCACCGTGTTCCTGCCCGGACATTATTTGTGTTACGCGGAGCTCTGACTTCCACCTCTGAGTTGTTGACGAAAGCTAAGTGTTAGCGGCATAACGTCCAATTTTCAAGTTCGGCCCGTGGGGATTTTATTTATTGATGATAACATCTGGGTTTTCAGTTTTGAGGGAGCAATAAGCATCCTTAAAACGACTGGAGTATGGTCGTCTTTCTCCTCCAGGAGTTGCTGATTGAAAGTGAATGGCAGGAAGAATGCTACAGGAGAGCAGATAGACTGAGCACGGCGGGCGGCTGAGTAGTTGATGGGTACAGTGTAAGTGTAACTTTACGGACGAACCGCACAATAAATTTCATATCATCCCGGTTTCAACAAACGGGTTCCACAAATGAGTGGCGGAAATCATCGTGGTTGCATGAGTCCAGTTTCTGAATGTGACGAACGAAGGTGCCGTAAATATCCCGTATTGCTGCCCCCCATTCTTACGCTCATCCCCTGATCTACCGGTTGCCTTTCCCCCCCATCTTACATTCGTTCGCTTGCCCCCCACCACCCCAAGCCCCCAACTCCAGGAGACATTTCCCGTATTCTCAAACCCAAAGCTTGACGGGTATAAGACGAGGTGAGAATTCATCAATAAATCTGACTGAAGACGAATACATAACCGAAAAACTGGAGTATAGAAATTTTTTATAAGTGTGTTTGTAAAGCGCATTTTACCTCTTTATAATTAAATTGAATAGGATTTCAAATCTTTGTGTAACTTTTCTTCAGGTTAATTTAGAAAGCAAGCTATTATTAGGACAGGTTAATTTTCTAAACTACAAAAAAGTAACCGTCAGGGACGCTCAAAAATAAAAAATTGGACTGATGTTGATATCCGATAGTAACACCAGTGCTGTGCCAGATTTACCAATATTTGAGTCAATTTATGTTTTTCATCCAATAAGTCGATTAATCGTAAGAATATTCGGTAGATTGCACAATTACGAAAATATTTGTTTACAACAGCCCTAATTTGTCATCACTTGCAGCTGACCTTGACTTTTTACCAGTTGTTTGGTTTCACTAAAAAAAACATTCCAAATAAGACATGAGGAGAAATAAGACAAACAAATGAGAAACCGACCATCGTCTGTTCTCCTCTTTTTGCATTCTGGCTCCCGGTTGCCTGAGTTTTCTTCTGCTCCCGAGGCTCCATCCATAACTTGGCCTGGTTAGACCAACATGTGTCAGAAATTACTTGATCAAAGAAATCAATCAATAAAAAAACAAAACAAACAACATACCCAAAGCAGAAGAAGCTGATGAAACGGGGGCTTTTGACGAGGGCTTCTTACTACAAAAGTGGGAAGCGGAGGTGGAAGGCTGAGGCTCCTCCTGCGTTGGTTCTAAAGGAGCTCTTGTGAGGATTACGGGTTCCACAGAAAGGGCCATCTCTGAAGCCAGAACCGGAAAAAGGCTGCAGGCTGGCCTCTCTGGATGCACATGGAGATGGAAAACCGTCAAAAACAGACACACAATATGACGAGCCTCCTCTAAGTCTTTATCCAACTACTCACGATAACTGCCTTCTGGAACAGCGGCCTCCATGTTTAAAGAGTGGTAAACATAGGCGATGTCTAGAGAGCAACAAGATGTGCTGTGAGTCTTTTCTATTGTAGAAATAAATGAGCATAGAGAGATTCTGAGCTGCTCACTTTGGTCGGGGTCACTCTTCCTGTACACAAAGTAGATGACATCACCGTTCTGCAGCATATGAGTCTGCTTCTTGACCACTTTGGACGAGTTGATCACTGTGCCGTTAGTGCTGCAGAAAACAGTTCGGAGTTCCAACAAGTCAATGCATATCTCCTCTCAGTTAGAAAAAATGTAATCTGACTCATATGAAAGTATAAAATCCTACCAAGTCTTTTGATGTTTTTTTTTTTGGAACCCACAAAGTTTAGGAAATATTAGGCTTTTTTTTTTAAAGAAGGGAAACTCATATGCAATGTCTGGAAATACAATTATGGTGGCGTTTTAAAAATTTTTTTTTTATTATAGAGCACTGTGTTTAACCTGAGGCCCTGTGGAGGCATTTGCCCCTCCACGGTGAATGTTACAAACTTAAACCGAAAATGATACAGACATGAGGGAAATTATTTATTTATTTTTAATCAAAACGTCCTACTTCCACAGAGTGGGACTAAAGAAGTTAAATGAAATTTTACATGGTGCTAAATATAGGGCAAACCTGGTTACAAATGACCACCACACTTTTCAGATTTTTATTTATGTGTGTGTAAAAAAAAGAAGAAAAAAATTCAACAAAAAAAACCCCCGGAAACAAATAAAGAACAAGTCATTTTGCAGGTAGTACAATTTTGTTTTAAACTCTTGGGGTTACAGTACCTTGTGTCTTCAAGCCAGACCAGCCCTGAGTGTTCATCTTTCACTATCTTGCAGTGCTCACCGGAGACAAGTTTATTGGATGGAAAGGACAGATAGCAGCCTGAAAAAAAGCATAAACGTAAAAAAACAAAAAAGTTTTTTTTTTTTAGGAAACAATTTTCTTAACCAAAACTAAGTATTTACTTTTTCATGCTTCAAATTGTCTTTTTTTTTTTTTTATCTTAAATCCTAAATGATATAGCAACGTATAGTTAACAATTCTGTCGAAACAAAAAGACTAAGTAGCCATGACATGTTTGACTCTTATTACCCAGACATTGGCTAATTTATGCAATCTTTGCAAACCCCAGAGGCTCTGCATAGTTAAAAAGAAAAAGTACATTCCCATAATCTCTCAACCACAAAGCACACACATACACACACATATATATATATATATATAACTTTGTAACCAACCTACATTTTGTTGCTTTGTACATGTCACAGTGCAATGACAATAAAGTTGAATTCTATTATATTCTATCTAACCAGCTCTAAAGCAAAACTCATGCAAAAAAAAGGAAAAAAAAGAAATCTACTTAATATTCTACATGCATGTTGTCAATCGACATCTTTTGTCCTCATCACAAGGGGCTGTCTAAGTTCGGGTCACTAAAGGAGGCTTTGTATTTTCAAGGGGGAGGTTATAAAGGCTCCAGACACTGACAGAAACGTCTATGGCGCAGAAAGGGCCGTCTTCTCTTAATGGGGACTTTTGCTCAATGAGAGCAGTCTAGAAAGCTGGGATAAACACGAGCCGCTTCTAACACGAATTAGAAATAGAAAATGAGACGTCTTTGTCCGCTCCCCCCCCCACAAACACACACACACACAAAAACACAATCTTTCTTACCCTTTTTTCTGCCAACTGTACATTCCTTGGTGAAAAGCAGAACCGTTTCATCGGAGTCCACTTTGACGAGCTTCCCCCATGGCCGACCACTGCTGTAGCTCTCCATGTCTCAATGGCTGACCCTGGGAACCATCACAAAACCAGTTTAGAGATTAAATGCCACACTATTTACCATTTCTTATTGGAATGTACTGCTTAGAGAAAAGACACGGTGCAACGAAAGAGAAATTTGTGAATGTAAAAAGTGCTTACAACCCAATTTAAGTGAATCTCCAGATTAAATCTATTTGTGTGATTTTTTTTATTTGTCAGGCTTATTACAGTAAAGCAAAAAAAATAAAAAATAAAATAACTTTACCACGTTTAAACCATGCAGCTATTTTTTGAAGTTATGTTTTCCTAAATAATAACAGAGACTTTTGGACATTTTAACTCAACTCCAGTACAGTGGATTTTTTTAGTAACCACTCAGCTGAGCGGCCAGGTTAAAATAGACCAGCTTATATTAGCTGCTGCTGTAGTAAAATTTATGGAAAGCCAACGTCATGAACTGACTTTCTACGTTGACAACAGAACTACAGAGAACGAGCAATTTGCTAAACAGGAAGAATCAGATCGGAGCTGTGATAATATGACGTTTTTTGTTTAAACAAAACAACACAAACTGACTGCACTGCAGCTTTCAGCTGGTTTAACTAAAACAAAGTCACAGTTACTCCAACTGCCGAGCGCCAACGCTTCAAGAGCTTCTCGCCTAACGTGCTGCTGGAATAAATAACGAAAACAACCGCGCTCAATGCTAAGCTAACCAGACTGCTAGCATTAGCATCTGTGTTCTAGCAAAAAAACAACAACACACACACACCAGAACCGTCCACTCGGACCAGCACGTCTCTCTACCGCTGCATTTATGCCCCCGCAGCTCCTGGTTTACCATGAAACGCTGGCTGTGATGTTCCAGCGGCGGGGTGTCAAACAGCTGCTCCTCCTTGTAGTCAGGTTAGGTCTGAAAAACGGAGCGGAGCACTTCCTGACAACACGGACCGTCGTCAGCTGACGGAGGGGCGTCAGTAGATTGTTTAAAGTGGGGCGCAGGAGGCTATGGCAAGCTATTAGAAGATTTAATAATAACAACAATAACAATAGTAAAAAATGAATCAATCAATAAATAATAATAATAAAGAATACATCTGTCTCCAGACAATATAATCCCTCCTCCTCATTGAGCACAGTAGTGGAGGAGTAATGATTTGGGCTTGATTCAGGGGAGCAGAACCTGGGCGCTTTAATCCCCTGTGTGACAACACTGCATATGCATATGCATATACATATGTACATATACATGGGTTCCGGTCTAAGAAAAGAATTCAAATAATTGACTTTATTTGAAAGTCAATTATGTATATATATATATATATATATATATATATATATATATATAATATATATAATATATATATATATATATATATATATATATATATATTACAGTGTTCTGCAAGCAATATTTCTACACTTTAATTACTCTTCTGCTCTTGGTTTGACATAGTGCAGACTTAAAGCTTTTGTACCAGTAAAAATGAAAAGTGACGCTATCAAAAAGTGTATTACTATAGTAGAAATTATATTTTAAGGTGTTGATTGTTATAAACGACAAATGATAAAAGAAAATACATTCTCTGACTTTGTACTTAAATTTGAGATCTAAGTTGTGACTCTCCAACTCGAAATAAAATACATATTGATGAGGAATACCTTTGGGTTATTTTAAAAACCAGCTATGACTTACTTCATATTTTCAAGAAAAAAATGTCTTGTTTTCAATTCATGTGTGTTGATTTTACACCTATCCACAAATGCATTCTTCCTATCCCCAGTGAACACTACAAAGAGCCAAAACAACATTTTTACAAGGATGAACACATTTTAGAAATCAAATGTGTTTTCATTTCTAAAATCAAAACACATTTAAATAAGAATTAATAATTCTTATTTAAGAGAATAAAAAGAAACCCTATGGCTTTTTTTTTTCTCTCCAAGCGAGTTATGTTTTTCTATTTCTTCCTTGACGTTTGTAATTTTGAGAAAATAACAAATTCAGACTGAATCTGCCAGTAGGATCTGCCGGGGTTGGATCAGTGATTTGTTGAACTCTCTTCTGCTTTGTGACCAATCACCATGAACGCCTAAACTAAGCATGTGACACACACCAAACACGCAACCTACACAAATATTGTAAAGCTAATCCCAAATGGACCCGTGTTTAAACAGCCCAGTTTGCCTGCAACAAGCTGGAAAGGAACAATAACCGACGGGAAACAATGCATGTCTGTACAATGACTAATGAGGGAAAACCCAAGTCATTGCAACCTGAGAAAAATGATTGCACAGGCTTTTGTTTTGTTGTTATTCATTTGTTTCAAAAGGGACAATGCCTGTCATAAAATAATATGTCACTGTTAGCCATAAAGGGAAGTTTGCATTTGTAGTTCCTCTTTACAGATCAACACAGGCAAAAGCACAAGATTCTTTCATTAAAAAGCCAACAATGACAACAACAATAACAATAATAATAATATTAAATAAAAAAACATTTTCATCCAAAAATAGCATACCAGGTTACACATTTAAAAAGAATGAAAAGCTACATATCACTAAATTTCCCACAATGCAATTCTGGTGCAGGTTACATATAATTTAAACGATCCACTCTATATAAATTATTCCCAAAGTCCACGTCTTTAAGCTAGTCTTTGCTGTGACTGCTGCATAATTTCTTTACCAACCTACCAATATTCTGTTTGATAGATTTAAGTCCAAAATAACCACTAACTATATCTTAAACTTATCGCAATGACGAGAGGCATAGATGCTGTTATTCTCCGGAATAGAGAGGCTCACAGAGCTAGAAATGTGAAGCCAGGAGAAATCCCTGGAGGTGGCAGCACCTTCGTGAAGTCCAGCAGATCCCCCTGTCTGGTCTGCCCCTCATCCATCATCAGGGGAAACAATCACCTCTGGGTGCAGTCAAATTTCAGGCCTGTCTTCCTCGAGGCACCTCAGGGAATTCCTGAGAATCCTCAGATGCTACAAGGCGGAGTGTGGAACAACAGAGAGTCACGAAGACGGAAAGCAACGATGCACCGTTCAATTCCGACACACGACAGGACACACGACAGGAAACGTATAAAGCTCTGAATGTCCTGATTCAACCTAGGTCACTGGGAGGACAGATGAAAAGACCATCTTCCTCACCAAGTTAATGTTTCTTAACTTTACTTTGAGGGAAACCAGGGTGACTTGCATATTTGAGCCGTTAGAGATTTATCTGTCAGGCTAACAGTTGGTTACGGCTTATCGGCAAACCTGATTGTTCAGGATCCAAACTACACCCCTGCTCTGCTTGTAAAACTAACTTCTGACACAGAATAGACACAACTTCTCCTGGATGTAGCATTTCTCCAATTTCTCTGACTGAAAGAAGTCTGCTACATCTTTGTGCAAACGTTAAGCCCAAAGCTTGGACCACTGTTTTTAATGTGTGCGATACTGAGTCTGCATATAGTAATTTGATTTATCAATTATCTGAAGCTATTAGCGTAACTATCCCAGACTGAACAGTCATTAACAGGAACAATGAACAAATCCCCGGCCTCACCAGATACTGAATTCTACTGAACATAAAACAAGCTGTGATCACTAGAGTTTAAGAAATAGTAGTGATTTTTATAAAAGAAAGTATCACTTGCATAAAAACTAATTGACATAAATAATAAGGAAGAGCAAATGTAATTATTATACTAATCATACAAATAGCTTTTCAAAACTTTTTAATAAGTTGCTTGTGTTTTTCAGGAGTGAATAAACAGAAAATTATTTGCAGATTTCTGAAACAGCTTTCCAGACTATAAAGTGTTGCGTTCACTATATATATATCCCACATTGCCAAGCTCTTTCTACTCTCTACAATTTTCTGCATGAAACCTAAAATTCTGCAGGAAACCGAATGTAATTATTGACAGTCAAACGAAATCAAATTTATGTTCAAACAGCTTGCAGAAACCTAAAGTTCTGCATGCAACTCTTTGGACAGATTGATGGCAGTACAGATTGAAGATATCTTGAATTATTATTTGTACGAGTCAGAATGTTAATGCAGATTTCTTAAATTATTCTGTTGGTTCACTTGCATTTGTTTGCTAAAGATGTTAAAGTTGTGACATAAAGAAGTCACAACTTCTTTATGACTTCTTTGTCGCTCAGCTGCTCGGGCCTAAAAATAGGACTAAAATACAACTTGATACTAGTCAAAGCATTTACAAAACAAACCTTGTTTACAAACTGATTAAGAGATTTTATACATTACAAGAGCGCATTTCCTTTAATTTTAATTCTTTCCACAGATGATTCCAATATTTAAAATCAATAACTGCATACTGTTTTGGTTAAACACGGTGTACTGTAAAAAAAAAAAAAAAAAAAAAAAAAACGACAAAGAAAAAAAAAAACAACCAAAAAAGATTTCAAAAGGGCACCTTTTTGTCCATAGGAAGAAGAAAGGTGCTCCAATAACTCTTAGTGTTCATCTGTGCACATCCCTGAATAACTTCCAAAAGTAATCATACCTGTTGAGCTTCTCATATTTTGTCAAGTTCCAGCAGCAAATTAAGTTTGCTGCTGGAAATAATAATAATAATTTAAAAAAATGGCCAAGGCTCTTCTGCAGCATTTTCACACGTAATCATTTGTCTATCTGCAGAAGTTTGACCCTCATTATCTTCTGGTGTCTGGGAGATAAGTCACTGTTCATTCTAGCCAAAAGAAATGAGACATTTCACACTCCCTACATACATCTTGGCTGCTGCAGAAAGAAAGAAAGAAAAAAAAAAACCTTTAGAACTGCATTTCTCTGGTCATGTTCTTCATTGTTTTTCTAAACAATGCTTCCCACTCACCTGTTGGTGGTTAGGAAGCCCATGATAGCTTTAATTTTAGTCTGTTCAAGTATTTCACTTAAAACTAAATCCAGAAACACAGCTGATTTTAACCAGTGTTATGAAACGCGGGATAAAACAGCAGCGCTGTTTTACCATCGCAGGTTTTCATTTCTACTTTAATGAAATATGATCATTATATATGATATATGATCTGCCATTTGTGCTTATGAAACTTTCATCTTCATCCTCATGCTTATGCTGTTTCACTGTGTAAATATGCCAGTCAAGAGTTACTGCAAGCCATTAATCCATACTTAATAAAACAGATTAAAGCCGAACATAAATCAAGTGCAGACATGACCTTAAGTGGATGATGTCCCAGGATCCTGCACCCCAATATTTCATATTTCAGGCTTCAAACTCACAAACAAGAGACAGGAGTGATTTAGTTATCGACTAATGTACAATTTATTTGCTAATTTCAGGGAGTCATAATGTGAATAATGCAGTCGGACAATAACTCTTGGCAGGTTTTGGAGTGTGAGCCCTTCATGTGATTACAGTGTTTGAAATCCACATGAAAAGGAAGCACATTAATGGGAAACGACACAAACTGTTCAGGCAGACCAGATTTCAACGACATGTAGAGGAATCTTTCTTCTTTTCGGGAACAGAATAAAGCTTTTCCTGGCTCATGTGAGCTGCTCAGTGACATTTAACTTAGAGGATGGACTGTCCTTTGGCTGGACATGCAAATAAGCAACTGACATTTGTCCTCTGCACAAATGACAACAATTTTTAGCGTCTGTTTTTTTATTTTATTTTTATGCACAAATTTACATTTTGTACATTTTCTTAATTTTCCTACTCAGTCGGTATTAAGTGGAGCATGTTATTGTTTAATATCTGCACACCATTTTCTCATTCAGTAAATTTGCCCTCACAGCATAATCTATCATTTCCACTTCTGTTTTTCTGTGTTTTAGTTTTATCTACGTGCTTCGCTTTCATAGTGGCGAATCGCCCCACTGGAGGACATTGAGGGTTATTTCGATTTGAAACATTCATCTAAATCATTAAAGTTGAAGAAGTAAAGTTAAAATCCCCGTGACTGTAC